CAGCTGCCCTCCCCCACACCCCTGCAGGACGCCGACCTGGGTAGGTGCCGCCCCGCAGCTGCCCTCCCCCACACCCCTGCAGGACGCCGACCTGGGTAGGTGCCTGCCCTGCAGCTACCCCCCTCCACCTCTGCAGGGGCTCATTCCAACAACCAGTGTCCTGAGAAGTGGCCGAGATCACCCCTCCCTGGTAGACGCCCACTACCCTAGCCTAGGAGTGGCGCTGGGCTCCGTGAGAGCACCACAGCCCGGGAGGAACCTCTGGTCTCGGTGCCTCCACCGTTGGAACTAGGCCAGCAGCAGCGTGCCCCTCCCCTGCAGTGCTGAGAGCCCTGCTGCTGTCACCCATCCAAGCAGCAGGGCAGGTCGCAGCGTGAGGGCAGCCACCCCTAGGGCAGGCCTGGCACATGAGGGCCCTGCACGGAAGGCGACGGAACTGGCCGGTGCCAGAAACTGCCCGTGACCTGGAGGAGGGCTCTTGGCTGAGGATCCTGGTGTAATGAGGAGCTAGGCCCAGGAGCCCAGAGACGAAGGCAGTTCTGGGACAGAGCGGCAGGAGGCCACGTCCTTAGGTCCTGGCCCAGCAAGACATGAGCAGCTGAGGGTGATGGAGAGCTGCTCCTTGGGCACCTTCATCAGCAACTTGCTGCTCCACCCAGGGCACGGGCCCTGACGGAACGTAGTCCACCGCCCCGGCTCCAGTGCCTGCCCCACGCCCACCCGGGAAGTGAGGGTCTGCGGGACCTCACCCTCTGGCTGGGGCCGAGCATGAACTTGAAGCCTGAGAACAGCCCACGTGGCCGGCCTCGGTGCCCGCAGCTCTGGCATTAGTGCCGTCATCGGCGGCAGTGGCAGCAGCAGGCTCCTGATGGGGTGGGCCTCCGCGACTCCTTCTTTGTGTCCCAGAGAGGGACATGTCTGCATGTCCCTTGAGTGCGGGGACCTGAGGAGACCTGGGTTGGCTGGACCTGCCTGCCTCCTGTCTTCAGCTAGCTCTGATGAGCGCTCCGGTGACCGAGGCACGGACAGTGTCGGGGAGGGCAGGCGTGATGGGCACATGTGGCAAGTGCTGCAAGGAGAGGTAGGGGCTGGAGGGGACAGGGCTGCGGGGGGTGGGCCGTGGAGAGGCCTCCCTGAAGGCCACGCGGCCCCACCTCAGGGCCGAGCTCCCTGATCACAGGGATGCCGGGTACATAGCCGGGCCCAGAAGCTGAGCCCCTGGACCACGGTTCTGCCAGGAGGCACGGTGGGCATGCACACAGAGCAGGTGCTTTGGAAAGACCGGTCCCTGCCAGCCCAAGGCCAGAGCTGGCCGGCACCAGGGAGCCACGCTGCCCATGTCGCTGGGGCCTCTAGCCAGGCCTGCCCCAGGCGCTCTGACTCAGGGCCTGGAGGTCCGAAACGCATTTCTAACGAGTTCCCAGGGGCTCTGATGCAGTGGGGCTGGAGGCCGCGCTAGGAGAGCCACTGGCCTGGCCCAGGTGGTTAGGGGAGCCTTCTGTGCTCCCAGCTGCTGTTCTGGAAAGAGTTCCTGCAGAACATTAGAACTCCTCGGGAGTGGGCGTCTCCGTTGCACCTCTGCGTCTGTTCCAGGCAGGGCTCCAGAGTCCCCTGGCCTCTAGTCTGTGCCAGACTGGCCGCCCTGGCCCCAGCCTCAGCCCTGCAGAGGCAGTGGGCGTTGTGGGCCAGGGCAGCTGGGCACAGCTGAGGTGAGAGCATCTAGACGAGGCTCTGCCCGGGTGTGCCCAGGGCACTGCCTGAGCCCCTCGGCCCTCAACTTACGGGGCTCCAGCAAAGCAGATGCAAGGGCTTCGGGAAGACATGGGCCGTGGGAAGAACGTTTCTCTCTGAGCTCTGACCTTGGGAGGTTTTCCCTCGGAAGGAAGGGAGAGAGGTGTTGCCCGAACTCCTAGCTTCGCTGTCGGGGAGCTGGGCGTGGCCGTTTTACTGCGAGGGCAGTTGGCACACTTGAGGGACTCCCCTCCCCGGCTCGATCATGTTGAGAAAGCTGCTGTTTCCGGCTGCACCCCCATTGGCCTTGTGCTGGTGAACCAGAGCACCCCTGGATTTGAGCAGAGGCCTGGGGTTCTGCTCAGGGCCGCCGTGCTGGCTGGGCAAGGCTTTCTCTCCCAAGGCCCTTCCTTGGGGGACAGCTGTAGCCCTCACCCCGTGGGGCCCTTCCAGGGAGGCATCACCCTGAGATGGACCTCGTTTCGTTGGTTCTAAGCGCCACGTTTAACGTCACTTGGGGTCGCTTGGCTGTGCGTCCTGGTCAGATCATGCTTTTCGCTCCAAGCGGCTTAGACAGGAGCAGTGCTTCTGTCTGTCGGTCGCCAGCAGCGTCCGCAGTTCTGGAACAGTAAGAAAGGCTTTCCAAACTCCCCGACTCCCGCCCGGACACACTCCGGACCCGGGACTGTGAGGAGCCAGCATGGCCGTTCCCCATGTCTCCTCCTGCTGCTCCGGAACTTCAGGTGCAGACAGGGAACCCTGAAAACACGTGCAGGACCAAGAACCCCAAGCTGCCTGCAGGTCTCCCCCTGCGTCTGAGCTGCAACCTCAGACTCCCCATGTGTCCAGCAGTGCAAACCTGAGAACGAGGGGGCAGAGGGCGGTGGTCTCAGCCCTGGGGAGATGATGCCTTAAAACCTCAGTGCAGCCTCACGGGCCTGTCTCCTCACTTCCTCCAGGCAGGGCACGGGGATTGTGGTGCCAGGGAGGCTGGGCAAGCAGGGGCAGTCCTAGACTTGCCTGGCCTTGGAGGTGCTGTCCCCACTGTGCCCCTGAACCTCATCTTTGCAATGGAACCCAAGGACGCCCCCTCGGGGTGGTTCGTGGCCTGTGGCCCTCCGTGGGAGAGGGGTACACAAAAGCCTGGCAGAGATGGGGTGGAGCCCCGCTGGCAGCTTTGGGGTTCTTGGTCTGCACGTGTCTTTAGGTCTCCTTTTGTGAACAGAATTCTCAGGGGGCAGGAAGAGAGTGGAGAGGAGCCTGCTGGCTTGGTACTGTCGGTCGTATCCGACGTCCGGGGACTCCGCGTTCCGGGAGCCGGGATACGGGCTCCGCGGGCCAGGCCCAGCCTCGTGTGGTCAGTGCGCTCCATCCACGCCCGGCCACGTGCCACAGGCTTTGGCTGCTTGTGCAGGATCTGGCAGGACTGGGCATCTCGGGTAGCACCCTGCTGCCCACAGGGCCGAAGCCATCACTCTGGCCCAGTGCCCAGCATGAGCCAGGGCCCACGACTTGTCCCTGCTGGTCCCAAGCCAGCTCTGTGCCCAGCCACCCAGAGGCCTTTGAGGTTCACATTCGTGTGCCCAGGTGTGTCGGATGAGGCTCCTGGGGGCCTTCAGAAAGCTTGCAGAAATGTGTTTTGAAAATTGCATGGATCTCAAAATTTTTTGCACCAAAATAGACTCATACGGTAAACTCCGTTCTCCGCAAGCTTTTTGAAGTTCCGCGTGTGTGCTTACAGCCTCCCACACAGACAGTCCTGCTCCGGCTTCGAGTTCGAAGTGAAGCGGTCATAGCAGGTTCCACTGGCTGGCGGGGAACGGCTCTGAGCAGCAGGGACCCGCTGGGGGCACTGTGGCGCTTTGCAGCTGGGGGCAGCAGCTAGCTCTGGGGGTGCGGGCCCTGGGCCCTCGGGGGGCAGGGGATGCTGAGGAGGAGCCGTGGTGCTGGGCCTGTCAGGCTCACCACGCTCTGACCTTTCACAGCTATGTCGAAATCCGCCGTGAAGATCTCCTTGGACTTACTCTCTAACCCGCTCTGTGAGCAAGACCCCGACTTTCTGAGTATGGTGACAGCCCTGGACACAGCCATGAAGCGGATGGATGCCTTCAACCAGGAGAAGGTCCCTGCCTCTTGCTTTTCGGGGCCCTCTCCCTGCCTGGTCCCCTCAGCCCTTGGAGTCCCAGCCCTGCCCAGCCTGACCTGTGTCTACGTTGTGGCTCCCCAGGCCCTGTGAGCCCGCATCTCCCTCTGGAGCCCAGGGGGGGCCCTCAAGCTCTCCGCAGCTGCCCACCTTACCCTCCACACTAGGCGAGGCCGCCCTGGGCCTATGGGCAGCAGCCAGCACGGGAAGGG